TTTTCACAAGCTGCGCACACACATGCATTTATGGACCATGTTTTCGTCCCACAACACAATACACATAAGGAATCACAACATTTAGAAGCCCGATGTTGAAATTTGTCCAGTGCGGTAAGGTCGTGCTTCCACCATGACTGCCAGGTTTGGATTGGGTATTCGACATGGGGGCGAACATACGTATTCGGCATTTGTCTGAAAGTACTGATGCCTCCTTGTCCGAACGCCGGTAGTAGCAAGCCGACATGCTGGTTACCAGTTTTTGATGCCTTTGCGGATTGCTTGGAACAACCCAAGCTATCCTGAACAAACAAGTCAAGGTCGCGTTCGACGGATGATAGCTGCAGTACTTGTGTTCCCAGCTTGTAGGAATAGTTACTCTGGTGTCGTATGTAGAGTACCTTGCATTTGTCTGCGTTGAACTGTAAAAGATTTCTGGCTGAACACTAATGTACCATACCCAGGTCACAATGCAGTAAATTAGGATCGGTATCTGTCTGAATCTGATTCCATCTCTTAATATCGTCAGCAAACAGCAAGGAAATCGAAGCGAGTTTCTGCGCAAGGTCATTGATGAATACCAAAACAACCGTGGCCCTAGGACCGAGCGATAGGGCAGACCAGACTCGTCTGGTATGGGTTCAGATAAGGAACTTCGGACTCTGACCACTAAGTGTCGTTGCAGGAGGAAGTTGGCAATCCAGCTCACCGATCAAGCAATATTGGCGTTTGGAGAGGAGAATCCGATGATATAAACTATCGAATGCCTTCGCTAAATCCAAGTAGATCAGATCAACGGCCCCTCCAGCGTCAGCTGACTCGCTCCAACTACTCCATGAGATTAATAGATTCGTTCTGCACGATCGCTGTCTATGAAAACCGTGTTACTCGAGTGCAATAATGTTACAATATTCTAGATAACACACCAACGCATCGGAAACGATGGATTCCATGACCTTGGACAATACACGGAGAAGAGACACTGGGCAGTAGTTTGATGACTCAGTACTGCTTCCACCTTTGTGAATCTGGGTTATTATTCCAAGCTTCCACACCGTAGGAATCTGATTCTGATCTAAGCAGCGCTGAAAGAACTAAGCCAAAGATTTTGCCAGTTGTCTTGCTGCTGCTCCCAGTGCCGCTTGACGAATGGTGTCGACTTTTTGGGAGCTGTGTTTGTGTAGAGACGTCAGCTTCTGCAATACATCTTCGGCAGTAAAGTAAATGTGAGTGGGTACTGGATATGGGAAAACAAAGTTTGAAAATGGGCTGATGGTAAGAGCCTGTGAAATGTGGGAGCATATTGCATCCGCAACACGTTTGCTGAGAAGCAGAAGCTGTTCTAGCTGGACCATCAATCGTCCGGAGCGAGGGAATTCCCTGTCTCTCCTTACGACGGCCATTAAATAATAAAATAATAACGCGTCAGCTGTACGCCGTAACGGCGATTCGCTGCCGTGCGACCACCACCAGTAGCACGCGGATTGAGTATGCCGCCAGGACGCTCATCCCTACGCGGACTCGAACCCGCGCCGCAAGATTAGGAACCAAGCTCGTTAGCTCTAGGCTGTGGGCCGACGGCCATTTACATACTTGAAAGTTTTCGCCATATTCTGCTGATATGCGACTTTTTCACCTCTGAGCCGTTGAGTGCAGTGATTACGATGGGCTACGTAGTTGTCCCACTTATCTGGCGTTGGGGACGATCTGTATTCTTGCCAGCCTGCGTTGCGTACAGTCATCTCTTTTCTAGTTCTACTCCTAATTAAAGAATTGATTTTAGGCCCATTGAAAGTTCTTGTCTCTAAGGCATCCGTAACCAGTAGATTGAATTTGCTAACGAATTCAAGCCATGAGACTTCTAGGTGGCCTACAGCAAGGAACGATCAGGTTGTGGCACTGACCAGCTGGGCAAAGCAGTCGTAGCGCGTAATGGTGCGCACCAAATCAGGGTTCTGATTGCGATATTCTGCATAGCAGATGAAGTCGAAATTGATGAGTACATGATCACTGCGACCCAAGGGCATTTTATAATCGATACATCAAGCATATGTTTCGCATTGGTGAACACAAGATCCAGCAAAAGTGGTCTATTAGCTGTTCTGAAACGAGTGGGCACAATGATGTGAGTGTAAATTGGAACATTGATTATAAGCTCTTGCAGATCTGCTGTAAATGGTTCTTCGCTTGTAGCAACGGTTTCTAAACAGTGTACCTTGAAATCATTCATGATAAAGAGGAGAGTGTACTTTCTCTTTAGACTGCATCTTAAAGCTATCTCAAAGTGACAATCTATTTCCGGTGTAGAGATTGGGTGACGGTACACCAACGCTATAGGGCAGGTGTCTCTGCGATATAATTGCACGCGGCACCAAAGAGAATCGGCTAATGCTAAGTCTGAATTCTCAGCTGTCTGGCACTGTATAGCGCTTCGGTAATACCAGATTATCTCCTTTTGTAAGCCTGCCGTTTCGTATTAGTGACATGCCCGGCAGCGAGACTTCAGCGAGTGTCATTCCACTGTGCATCCATGTCTGCAACCATGTCCGCTCTAGCTGAACCAGGAGTTTTAGGTTTCTTGGTCCGCTTCCTCTATAATTTGATGAATGCCTTTTGGGCGATCACGCCACAACGTTGTCCAAAAAAACTGTTTCACGAATGAACCGCCACTGTTCCAAATTGCGATTACCGGCCTCATGACTATTATGCGAAAGAAGTTCCGGTACACCATAAATAAAAATTATGCTTAAACAACCCAGCTTGCACTGTCCATTCGAGATGTTTCTTTTCGACTGACGCGTGCTCTAAGGGACTTCAGGATAGATGCATACGTTACAAGGCCCGTGTTTTAGCGTACTTTCAGAGAGTAAAAGGTTTTCTACATGAATGGCGGATTCCAATGTTACTCTGATAGTTCTTGGTTCGCTATAGTGTGCAGAGTTCGGCGACGAGTAACTCTCACTAGGTTTGTGGGTTTGGCTTTTACGTTCATCAAAATGCATAGTCAGTTTCACTGGTTTTGGTCGTCAGATAACTTACCCCGTAGTGTGACATCGGTAGCTTCAGGGACACTTTTTCTCTTGACAGTCAGGGAGTTATTATTGGAGCACTCTTTTGTTGAACCGCAAGATCGGATGATAGTTGGGCCTGGCTTCATGCCAAGTGATGCTGAGCTATTGTTTATCTCTATTTTGGCGTTAGCGGTGCTTCCGACACAGGAAACACTAAATGTAGCATCCCAAGGGACTTTTGCAGCGATCTCTGCAAATGTGCTTGGTGTCTCGGAGGCTTCGAACTCGATCAGAGACCCTTGTGTTGCAGATGCAGTAGACTCGGGTTAGGCTGTCCCATTCTTGTTAATGATGCAAATTGTCAATATCGGCTGAATTTTATCGATCACACGGTTCTAGCGGTGCCTGACTTTTGTAGTCCTGGGTACCGCTTGTCTATCAGAGCTACGGTCTGTTTTCGCGTGGTGTTCTTCCAAAATTGAAGTTAACGCTAATGGGGACCTTGTCAATCGTGGTTCGAGCAAACAAATTTTACACCATTGCTTCTCTTTGAGGCCACTGTGTAATCGTGGTGGATACAAGCTTACAGTGAGATAATCTTAACATTGGTTCATTGTGCAACTTCTTTTGTTAACCGGTCGCATTTTTGGCTTAGAAGTAGCATGCATTTGACTAGTGGAACAGTCGAACACGCGGTACAAATCAAGAGATCGTCTTGAGAGCTATTTCGATCTCTTACGTGCTGTTGGAAAAGTTTCGCACGTTTTGGATGGGACCATTGGAAACAGTATGAGCAAAGTAAGCCAAATGTGACTAATCGGTTACATTCTACGAACCCGCATTTTCCATTCGGATGGAGCCCTTTTGGATTCTCATCTGCTTGCTTTCTGCTACTCGTCCTAGTGTTGCTACTTTACGCAGTAAGCTAGTTGACGTTGCGTACTTTTCCGACTGGCCGGTTTCTTACCGTAGTCAAACCGATGAATGTGTCCACTTAGCATCTTGCTCACACACTGCCCTGTGGAGTGATTGGGAACGCGATATATCCAACCTGCCCGAACTTGAAACGGACACAGTGCGCGCTGGTTTCAGTTCACACGCCGGTCCAAACACCGCACGTTCAGATGACTGCCGGTTGAATTGCAATCCTGTTTACTGGTCGAACGCTGGTCACGACAGGGCAATGCGGTTGACACGACAGCAGGGTAAATCGATCGCTGCTGACCGATAAAATTGGTCAGCCGATGTAGTCGGTTAGCTGAAAAATCTCCTCCAGAACCGATAAGATGATTTAGATGATAAAGCGATGGAATAATTCCCACGCTTGTCGATTTCCTGGATAGAGCTGGTAGTTCCGTGTCGGATGAGTGGAACTTGGGCGATGTATGATGAAATGCGTACGGAAAACCCAACTACAAGGCCGAGCACAGGATGAGTAAGAAAGATTTGCACAGTTTCCACAAAATCTGACTGATATTCTTCCAGCTTTTTCCGGTGCCGCAATCAGCACACAAAAAGGAATCGTATGGTATATAATCATCCAAAGTCCGTTAAGATTGCATGTAGGGAACGTACAACATGTGCAAATACTCGGAGCTTCTGTTTTGTGTCCACTTGTCAGTGACCTATACTGTGATTTCATATATATATATATATATATATATATATATATATATATATATATATATATATATATGTGTGTGTGTAAAATGATGCTCGGCACCGTATTGCGCATTAAGCGTTAGAAAGAGGTTGGAGGTGGAACATAAGTAACAGGAGGCATAGTACGAATTTATGTAACTACTAATTCCCCTATAGTCGGTTCATTAAGATCGGTAACATTTTCTGTTCAGTAGACTGATGATTGTTTCTCTACGCCTGTGTTACTGGCGTATAGAGCACCCATAATAAGCGGGGACACACAGATAACGCTTGGAAAATCTCCCAATTCAAGATCAGAACATACTATTTGCTGTGGGCATAAGATATATTACCTCTGATATACATTTTTAGCGTCTCCGAAAACTTAACGGATATCATTGTTGTTAGAGCATACGCAATTACTTGCTATCCTCTGTCCTTCAGAGTCTCTGGCAACACATAAGGTATTTGCGGTGCAGAATGTGCTGGAGGTGATACGAAAAGGCATAACCGATGCTCGTGTTTCCTTTCCCCATGCTTGGCCAGCGAAGGCCTATTCCACTTTACGGAGCCGTGCATCGGGATACTAACTTGAAAGCAAACCTTCAAAAATTTATCGAGGATTCTAGGAATTTGATTAGGTGCGCAGTTGCAACTGCAGCTTCCAACTGAATAAATAACGGTAAATGAGCGCAGTGTGACACTGGTTGTAACTATCTGTGGTCCTTGGTTGACGCAGTGCGCCAAAAATTCTCACTTCTAAAGTCAAGTAAAGTGTATAATCCGTTCGACAGATGGTGTAAACGCTGTTCATAAAGAATATCACAAACAATCTCGCTTTGTTAAATCGTGCATGTCCTGTCTATGTATATATTGTTCACCCTCTTGTTTCTCTATCAGGAACTCTCAGTCAGACCACAGGGTTCTTTCAAAGGTTCTATTGTAGTCCCTGATTTCCGTCCTCTGCCCCGACCGGAGCGTGTCGCATAATTTGCTGCATGCCTTGTGGGCATCAGTATAGTAGCTCTTGTTCCCCTATCTATATAAACAGCTCAAATGTGTAGGTTTGCGCATCGGATGTTTTATACCAGTGATCAATGGACTCACCCCGGAGTACTCCATCTGTTTTTGCGACATGCTTCCACCTCACGACGCCAGCTAAATGATTTTGGTTGTAATGCTGATAAAGTGGCTTCATATGTGCCCGGACCTGGGGTCTTGGACTTTGTTTATAGTGCTCTAGCACTTTGGTGTGATTCATGCCTACCTGCGAAAGAGGTGGTTTGTTGCTTGTGGTTCTAGCCCCAAGAGTGTATCCCTTGTTGCTCGTGGGCTTGGTTCTCAGGTTGTCTTCTATGTCAACCTGGAGACAATTCTATAAAAACAAACGAGCCCTCATTACATTGTATGATCCAGGTCCACAAGAGGATTGACCCCGAATGCTCCTCATCGTTACTCCCATTCGATGGGTGGGCACCGATTCTGGGCAAAATTTTCTGCTTTGGCATGACTCAAATACGAAGTTGCTTTTGCGTTTCGTTAGGATTTCTGTAAAAAAATGAGAAAACTGATTTTATACACTATTCCAGTTTACAGGCATTTCTATTTAGAGACTTATTATAGGCATGTATTGAACGCGAAACATTTCCGCTTTCACTACTTTGCGACAATAGATTTCATTCTTGTTTGCATCTTCTGACCGCCCATTTGTGTTACTGAAAGCACTTGGCGTTCATCTTCGATTTCCCTATGAATTGTGCGGTTCTTCGCTTCGTGCTTTGCTAATGGACTTCCAGTTCTTAGTAGGTCATACAAACTACATTGGGTTCGGCAACGTTTCGCTTCTGTATACTCGGTATCCGTGGTTGGTCTTATTGCTAACTGTCACTACCAGTAACTGAGTTCGTCTCTAATATTGGTGACCCCCGGTGTCGAACTCCATCGCAACCATCTTTCAGCAAGCACCGCGGTGAGACAAAACCTTGTTGTTTGGTTTGGTTTTTCATTTATCATCGTTTACCATCCTTTCATCACATTTGATCCGACGTTAAACACCTTGTTCCTACTTTCAAGGCCGTCACCTTTCCTGTCACTCCGTTTATTAGCAGCGATCCACAGTTTTGATTCGTATTGTTAGAGTCTGAGTTCACTTGCCATATAATCCCCATTGATTCAACAAAGTGTAGCCAGCCACTAGCTTGTCTACCCAGCAGCGTAACTCTGCAACTCAGGGACATTTTAATTTTTCCTGTTTCTGCGCAACGTTACAACACTTAAACAGACTGTCATAAGCAGAAGTACATCATCCGGGCGGAACCTTATTCAGCAGCTTTTCCAAAGTCTACAATTAGGTCACATTAAACTGAGCGAGATGCGCCAAATGCTCGGTACATTGTCCATGGACGAGTCACTATTGCACGAATTCTGGTTACAGCATTTACCAGAAACAGCCAAAGGTATTCCTACCGCGATGCAACTTCAGTCGCCAGGTGACGTCCCTCAAAACGTTGACACAGGAGTTGATCGTTTTCGTCCTCAGCTTAATTTTTTCAATTCTCCTTTGCCAGTTACCTTCTACTCATAATAGCGTTTCCTGTTCTTTGTTGTTCACACTCCACCAAGTCTTCCCATGCTACAAAGGAATGTACGACTATTTTAGCGGAACTAGCTGCTTTGCGCCTTGAGTAGCAACAGGTCTAACAATAACGGACTTCGCTCACGTAGTAAATCGTCCAACCCTAACGATGTTGCAGAAGATAATCAGTACTGATGGTACCACCGCTCACTTGGTGCACAACCCGAGCGTTGTACCACACCCCATACCTTCAATGCGACTCAAAAGGGAAGCTCTCGGGTTATGAAGTAAAGGCAACTAGCATCAACGGTGCACGCGATGATAGTCGCCTCCTTTATGTTAAGGACTAAATCTAAAACCGCCTTCCTGATCGATGCCAAGGCTGAAGTTAGCGTTGTTCCTTCCGCATCTGGAGAGGCGACTCTGCCAGCCGCTCTCAGTCTTCGTGCCGCCAACGGCACACTAATCCCTACTTACGGCCATCGCTCTTTAACCCTTAGGTTGCGTCTCCGTAGAACATTTCGCTGGGTGTTCATTATTGTCGCCGTCCCGTTTGCCATCCTTGGCATAGACCTCCTCAGATATTTCGATCTCTTGGTCGATGCGAAACAATAGAGGATAATCGATCCCCCAACGATGCTTGGCGTCACTGGCACCAACGCCGTCATTGCAGCTACCACCCCAGTCTACGTTCGCCCACAGACTTCATCCGACTATGCCCAACTATTTTCTAAATAACCTAATCGCGTTCAGCCAAGTAAAGAAGCTCTCCCAGTGCCATCTCAGGTCACAAACCTTATCCGTACTAACGGCCCACCAGTCTCTTCACGCCCACACCGACTCCCGCCAGAGAACCTGAAACTTTCTACGGCGGAGTTTGAGTATATGTTCGAATTTGGAATAATCCGCCCTTCATATAGCCCTTGGTCTTCTCCATTCCAGATGGCCCCAAAGAAATGTGGCGACTGACGACCTTGCGGTGACTGCTGGGACCTACACAAACCTACGGTCCCCAACAGGTACCCCATTCCACATATGCAGAACCTCACTGCATGCCTCACGAGTTAGACGGTCTTCAGAAAGCTCGATCTTATTCGAGCCTATCACCAAATACCTGTGGAGTAAAAAGATATATCTAAAACAGCCGTCATTTCCTCCTTCAGCTTGTTTGAATTTGTGAGATGGCCTTTTGGATTGTGTAATGCCGCACCACTATTTCAGCGTTTCATCCACGATGTCACCTGTGCCTTAGACTTCGTCTATCCCTACTTCCATGACATACTAGTGGCCAGTTCGTCCGATGAAGAACACCCAGCTCATCTTCAGCCTATCTTCCAGAGGTTGACGAAACACGCCGTCACCGTCAATCCGACTAAGTGCAAAATTGGCAAGTCCACGGTAGAATTCCTAGCTCACCTCGTCTCAACATCTGGTGTCGACGTCCTAGAGGACAAGGTCCAATCCATCAAAGACTTCCAAGCCCCGACTTCACTTAAGAAACTCCATCTATTTTATGGTCTAGTCAACTACTGCCGAAGCCCCATTCCCTGCTGCGCTCATCTTAGCAGCCCACCACTGACCTCCTCAGCGGAAAAGAACGTAAGTTTACTTTCCCGATACAGTACATCCGGTTTTCACCGAGCTCAATGATGCTACGGTTCAAATTCCTGCGCATAACCACCCCACATCCATGACGTAGACACAAACCTTTACCCTCATTCGAACTGCTACTCCCAACGTTATCCACCAAGCCCTTTATCACCTCCGTATGACATTTTTATACAGTAGTTGCAAACATAAACACTGAGTCTCTTTGCAGTCTCTGGAACTTATCGATGCTCGTCGGTTTATTCCGGCTGGAAGCGAACACAATGAACAACACTTTGTGCTAGCCTAAAGAGAGGCCGCATATCCTGATGGTCTCATCGTGCTTCAGAGATGGAGATGACCGCTGCCCTTGGTAACCATCATAAGTTATTCCGGCTGATACGGGAAACTGGCAGCAGGAGACCTGGTGGTAGTGAAACTATATGTGACAAAAGTGGGCAGCCTATCCACAATTTGTCAAAACACTTGGAGCGTTGGGCTGAGCATTTCAAAAAGCAATTTAATCGACCAGATTTTTTTAATTTTACACCGGCCAGTGATCACTCTGTATCTTGGCTATCCCTTTGAATCCGCCCTTTCGCTCAGAAGTCAAATGTAAGATCGGATTGTTGAAGTTGAACAAAGCCGCGGTACCAGATGATCTTCCACCATCAAATTCGCTGGACCTGCTTTTGTTGATGAGTGACAAGAATTACTAGAGAAACTGTTGGAGCAGGAAACTGTCCCTACCGACTGGAGCCGCTCCGTTATTGTTCACATCTTCAAACGAAACTAGCGCTCGAAATGCGGCAATCATAGAGAAATCATCCTGATCTCCATTGTCTTCAAACTGCTTGCCTCTGTCATCCTTCACAGACTGACTGACACTAGCAAAATCCACATTCGTGAAAGAAATGGCGGGTTTCGTCGAGATCGTGGCTGCATTGACCACATTTTCACCTTGCGTCAGTTGTTGGAGCGCCGTCACATATATTGGCGGCCCACCGTTGTCGTGTTCCGCGATATCAAACGTGCATTCGATTTGGTGGATAAATATGCACTTTGGACTGTCTACCCAAGAAAGGTGTACCTGAGAAATGTGTACATATTATCCAAGCATTATACGCGCGTAGCTAGGGCAGATTGAGAGCTTACGGCAAGCTGTCGTCGCTCTTTAGTATCTCCAGCGGTGTGAGACAATGATGCCCGCTGTCACCTTGCCTCTTTAAATTCGCTTTTGACGAAGTCATGGAAATCGCGTTCATAGGACACGACTTGGAGGGTGTGGATCTGCTCACAGGATAACGACTTCTTGACTTAGATTATGCTGACAATATTGCCCTATTCTGTGACAACTCACATACACGTCAAGCGGCACTGGACAGATTAGCACTAGCTGTCGTCACTTCGGGCTTTGCTTTGCACCCTCGAAGTGCAAAATGTTCCTCAAAGATTAGCCTTGACCGCCTCCTACGCTGACCCTTGGTAGGGATAAGTTTGAAGTCGTACAAAATTCAACAACATAGGAAGTTGTGTTAGAGTCCGTGGTATTGAAGAGTACGAAGATCACGAACCGTATAGCGAAAGCTCGGGGCGATTTTGCTAACCTTCGCCACTTATGACGCCGGCGCGACATCCCTCTCCTCCAGAAGAGTGGAGTGTACATTGCAGCGGTACTTTCGAATCTACTTTAGGCTGTGAAACCTGACCGCTTAAAGCAGCGGACCTGAAGAGGCTAGTTACGTTCGACCACCGGTGCCTTCCTAACTTACTTCACATCTGGTGGGAACACCGAGTAAGCAACGTGCGTGTTCAACGCCTCATTTACGGCACAGGAAAAGGAAATGAACCGCTCAGCACCATCATTTAACGCACCAGGCTGCGATGGCTCGGCCACATGTTACGCATGCCAGCCCACCGACTCGCGCGAGGTTCGTTGTTTGCGCGCTAGGGGTGTGGATGGAAGAAGAGGAGGGGTGGTCAAGCGATGACTTCGTCGAGAGAAATGAAGGTCTTCACTTCTTAGCTGGCTTTGGTTGGAGCGTCTCGGCTCCCTGGTTGGAGTCCAAAAGACGATGAACACGTTTGGTTGGACACACTTGCTGATATGGCTAGGAGCCGACCTCAGTGGCGTTCGTGCTGTGAGTTTCTTTGTCCCACCCCATCCCTCTTAGCCTCTCCCTCCAATCACGATCTCATTATTTAGCGTTATATAATTTTGCATAGTAATTTTTTGATGCACAGTAGCCGGCTGTTAGCTTACCGGAACGATGCCCATCTGTTACCAGTAGCTCAGCCGGCTTGCACCAGTTGCATTTTTTTCTCCTTTTTTCTTTATGTATTGCGGCAAAATGATGTAGGTATTTCCCACATGTATCCAACGTTTATAATAAATATAATATATAAGGAGCGGTTGCAGCCACTTTTGCATCCCATAACTGGTGTTTGCTTCCACACAGACAAATTCTGCTTCCAAATTGAACCACCCAGTGGGTACCGGAACAAAATAACTGGAAACGAGAATACTGAGATGATATGTAAATATGAATGTGACCTTATGATTGTCTTTTCTCCTTATTCTGTGGGGTGTTTCAGAGAGCTGATGAATCAGAGCATTTCTTCACCACAACATTTGCAACACATGCTCGACTACTCTACTTGATACTTAGACTAGTGACTTGGTTCAAAACCTTCTAGCAAGGTTTAGATGAAAAGTGAATATCTGACCCATCGTACCAAACGTGTAACAGAATGAGCAGTCGCAAAAGCTGCATTGTACAGGTGTTGCTGGATTGATTTCATAGGCGGCTCTGTTCGACCGACTGATAGCCCGTCATAACAGCAGCATTGTCAAATGTCTGGCCACGGCAGTCAACAAACTGAATTCAATCCTACTCCGGGTCTCTCAATAACCATTCATCAATTTTCCCTGCTCTTTTGCTGTTGGTCTTAATGAGACAGAGAATTTACTCATCTTCCGTTAATTTGTTTTCACTTACCTAATTTTTGTTGGTTACGTCGTAAGTGCTATCAATAAATACACATACTTGCTTTTCTTGACCTGATCCACAATTTCCTTTCTCACCTGCTTTCCCACAATGCTGGTTAATACATTTTGTATGTTTAGCGACAAAGAATACGTGCTGTTTTTTCTACCGGCTGAACTTCCACCAAAGGTTTTAAAAATTAGTTTCAAAATGGGCCAACAAATGCATACATTCTGAAATATACCCTCTATTTTACTGGCCTCCTTTGTCATCCTGGATATCTTCTTGGTGATTATACAGCATATGGTGCTTGGCGAGAAACTTGACTATATCAAGTAGTCTAGCTTGCGTTTCACGCCGCCTCTCTCCCACATGTGCTGGCCACATTATTTATTAATTGCTTTTTCTTTTACTAGCCGGATTTCTAGCCCCGTGCAGTTGATGAATGACTGAGCACGCAATATATTATATCCATGTGTGCATATTATTGGATCTTGATCCCACCGGTTTCTAAAACCCACATCGAACAAAACATAGACTATTCCGTTGAAACGTTTCTGCAGCCGACACAAAACAGGCCCCCTTTCTAAGGAGGATACACCCTCTTTGATCGCAATATTTGCTCAGTTTTGCAAATCCCGAAAAACATCAATTCGTTTTTAGATTCTTAGCCGCAGCTTTTGTATTCGTTCCAGATAAAACCACCTAAAGAACTTATGATCAAGGTGCTGCACAACAGTTGCTCCGAGCCAGATTAACAAAGCGAGCTTCTCATGGCCAATCTTAAAGGGCAACTGACTGACATCCCTAAAATCGGTTGATGTGCGTGTTATAATGTCAAAGTTTGGCCGCATTTTTATTTCTTTGACTTCGTGCACATCTTCTACTTTAGCATTATAAGCATGTCACACTGTCTCTATGCTTCAAATGTCACATTCTGTTACCCGGATATCAAAGTTTGCATTGCCAACTTAATCTTCATTCTCAATACGATCATCACCTTCATTTTTCCCAATTCAGTCACGATAGTAATTTTAATGAATTTACACTTGTTTTTAAAGAATCACCAGTATTAAAAATGCTGCCCCCTGTTTCATGCCGTCCGGAGCGCACTGCACCCGTCCCCACTATGCTGTGCATCTGTTGTCGTGTAAGGTAGCATGAGATTATAAATTGTAGCGTCTTAGTTGCACACGCCACCTGGATGGAGGGTGAAGGTTAAGTTGAAAGTCTTTGTTGTGCAACATACCTGCAAGTGCTGCTTCGTCAATTTTCAAGGTTCGGACACACCAAACCAAAGGTCAGTATGCAAATACAAACAAACTGAAACGCGATACAGTGCTATACTCGAAGCTGCTGTCTGGCAATGAGACCTTCATGATGGAACGCCGTCGAAAGCGGAAGATCACTAGGAAAGTTCTTGGATTGCGAAACCCCACGGAAGTTTTTACAAGTCGCGGACGGTCATCCTCCCTTGACATTGAATATTCACCTTCACCCACTTGGTTGAAGTCGAAAGATGATGCCATTTTCTGCATTCGCTGTAAAGCATTCAGCCAATAAGTATTCCAATAACCTCAAGGCGCATGCGGTTCTCATTGTGTTACTGTTAGCTACATACCCTTCAAACCTTCACATTTGTCTTCATCGCGGTTATCCGCTGACGACGATAATGCTGTAAACGCACCTATCCGGAGGCATAAAGCTTACTTCGACTTGACTGATGCACCGGTTTCGCTGTTAAACCTCAAATGTTAGGTTAGCAGAATGCGCGAGGAGCACGGAAACAGCCTAGCGCCGCGACAGATCTAGAGGACACTTGAACTAAGAGAATGCACCGGTACATATCCGTGGACATTAGCACTAGGTGTGGCCTCCGTCAGCAATTTTACAAAGGTTAACACTGAGCTTAGAGTTTCACGTACCAAATTCTGTCCCAGTGAAACAAATTTGGTAATGTAGATAAGAGATGCTAAAATTTTATTTCTAGGTTTCAAATATACCGGTTTTATACGTAAAAATGCAATACATATGCAATACATTGGCCAGATAAATGCACATAAAGAGTTTGCAGGACTATAATTGTCCTGAATGTGCATCACTGGGACGGCAATAAGCAAACGAAACGGTCACACAATAGGTTGTAACAGTCACTCCAGTGAACACTAATCGGTCAGAAATTTAAAGCCTTTCCTATATACACATACACCACCACAACCAGGGAAAACATAAATTTTTTCTAATTTTTACCTCGTATCCTATCCAATACATTTTGCCCTTCTGGCAAATTCATAATCTGATTGTTTGGTTGTTGCAGTAACTATTCTTTTTAGCTTAACAAAACGAAGGTGACCATCAGTTAAGTTAACATGGTCAATATGATAAAGTATGTTTCACAGGTTTTGGCAACCTTCCGATTGCTTTGATCAAATAATCATTATAATTTTTTCGTTCCCTAGTACATAACAAGATAAAAGTCCGTAATTTTAACTGATGGAATTCATTGGATTATTGGAATGTAGAGAGCAGAAGGAAAAATCCCTTGTCAACTCCATTGCCTCCCGTTCATCCTAGGGATCAAGATGGACAAGGCAAATCGGTACCAATGGAACCGCTGCATAAACACAATAAAGATGAAGATCCGAGTTTACTCAACAGGAAGAATCAAATCGACGTACTGTGAGTTCTACGCGGTAATTCGATTTTTTGGCTTGCAATATTGATCGAGTTATCTGGTCGAAATATCGTGGAAAATAGCTTTTTAATAAACGCTTGAAGCAAAATTTGACTATTGTCAAATTTCTCTGATCCGAGATATCTTGGATCGATTAAAGTACTACTGGACATGGCGTCTACTTGACGCTTACTGGTAATTGTTGCGGTTGTTCCCCGTTTTATTCCCGTTTCACACCCCTTTTTGCCTTTTGTGATTGTTTGACGGTTGTATACGTTTTTTAAATTTCTTCTCTGTTTTCCAGGTTAACCATGGTTGTCTCGCTAAAAACCGAGGCGGATGAACTCTTTGGGTCCTCATTACATAAGTCCAATGCAGCTTGCGGCAATTCTGCCTGTCCAAGTCCAATTACGGATTCACCTGGTGGTATGGAGGGTGCTGTTTGCTTCCGCTGGTATCCCAACGGTTGTCCCCGCCGCCGAGCGAATTAGTACGATATGCTCTCATCCAGTGAATACCTTCTGTTTAGACGTGCTGATTGCTGCACTCAAAAAACAAAGCGTCCCGCTATCATCCGTACTTACTTTAAAACACTGGCATCCAGTTCACAGTGGTTGAGAAGGCGTTGGTCGGGCTTGCTTTGCTCAACTCTAAAGTGGATTTGCTTATGAAATACCTGAGTACTTCATATTAGGACTCTGTAGCTGACTGTCCTTCTGCAGCCAGTCCACCCATTGATGTATCGTTTATATTACCGGAAGCTCTAGTACACCTTGTGATAACTGACTCATATGCCTCGGACGGCATTGTTAACCCGCCACAAATGGAGGGCGAGTCACGGGCTCCTGTACCAGGAAAGAATAGGCGAAAGAGGGGAACGATGGTGCGCAAGCCCTCCGCGCCCATAGTGAGAAGTAAGAAGTCGCTCATGATGCCACCGCCTTAGCGGGAAACACCACCGGATGACGAACTTCCCTGTTTCACCTAAGGTTGTGCAGGCAGGGAGTGAAAAACCACAGATGTTCCCATCGCGTGCTAATGAAACTGTGGAGCCTAATCCAAACACCTCTCATCCGCGGGCACTGGTCGTGGAGGCGGGTTTGGACATTGAGCCACGGACTACTTCGCCTGCAGGACGAAAGGAAATTCGGAACAGAACTGCCCGTACTCTTTAGGCAGGTACGCAAAGCGTCAAGGCTGACGGGACAAACAAGGTGGAGTGTAAGACGCACGCTACAGTTGCTTCAGCGTCGCCTGATGATTTGCACTCAGTTTTATTGCCTACAGCTAAGCCGGTTGCTGTTCATCTAAATTCCAAAACCCGTGGGGTATATACACCCCATCAAGGTGATTCTTTCATAAATAACAGCGTGACATTCCATAAAGCAGTGGAATCCACTGCCGCACTGCCTGCCGACTGTACGTTGGACGACCTACAGGGGTTTAGGATGTGCGTAACGGTTTCTTCCGCATGGGTTTCCCGGTGTTACTGTCAGGTAGCTGACTAGATTAGGTTACGTCCCAGTTAACGTCCCAAACCCTCAAACGCGCTTACTTCGTGTAGTCTTATCCAGCCAGGAGGAACGTACCATGCTTCTGCCTTTTGCCTTCAAATTGAAGGATGCGAATGTTAGCGTTCATCCAGACCTCCCAGTAGCGGATAGGCTGGAGCTAAAAGGGGCCATTATGGTCCTCAAAACCAGGCGAGTGGCCGGTGGACCAGGTCTCCGGTTGATGGGTTTTCGGGTGGTCAGCCGGCTGTCTGTTTCCGCCCTACCAGTACCAGTACTGGTAGCGCAAGTCCCAGAGCTGGACATTAAGAGTACCTTCACATAGTGCTAAGCAATGTGCGTAGCCTAAGGAATACGATGTGCGGAATAAGTCTGCTTGTAGATGGGACGCATCCCCATATAACTGCCTGCACTGAAACTTGGCTGTCTCAGGACATCGCGGAGGTTGAACTACAGCTGTCTGGCTACACATTTTGTTGAGGTGTTCGCTTCGTTGGCCGACAACGCGGCGGTTTTACGCTTTACGTTACTTGTGGTTTTGATGTTTTACGTACCTACATGTCTCAGTCGGCAGGTAAAACTGTCGAAGCCCTGTCGGTGTTGCTTAGCATTTCCTCAGCTCAACTTACCGTTGTAGTTATGTATAGAAGCCTAGGGAGTGCATCCAAGAAGGTGCTTGACTTTATTCGCTACCAATCCGTAAACAGGTGTGTGATACTGGGGGTTTCAAGCTAACAGTAGTTTGTTGGGTAGATCTTTCTTGCAACTCGGCGGAAGGCACTTTCGGTGCAGATCTTCTTGAGCTTGCACTACAAGTACCGGTGCATAAATTCGTGGACCTCCCCACTAGGTAGACGGATGACCAACTATCGTCTATTTTTGATCTAGTGTTTTCCAAGTCACTGGACTTCTTAGGTGACATCACTTACAGCTCTCCCTTAGGTGCTAGTGATCCTGTCTCGTTAGCGTTATGGAGTACTCTGAACGGGTGTCACCAAAGCATCGATAAGTCATTTCCAAACATATGGCGTGCTGACTATCATGCAATGCGTAGTAAGGCTTCTGGGTTGCGTTGCGAAATCTCGGCGGTTAAAACGGTTTAGGCAACCTGGGATAAATTTAAATCTTATCTCACGGAATTGTCTGCCCCCTACGTCCCAATTGCTAAGAGAAAGGAGACCAGCTCCGCCCACCGTGGATAGATACCACTGGCAAGTACTTGCTTCCGAAGCGCTCTAGGTGCCTTAGGGCCTACCGTGCGGCTCCATCAACCAGCACTTGCCATAGATACCCCGGTAATAGAAATAGATGTGAACAACACTTAAGGAAAGTTTGGCGGCTGTACAAAAAGGAGTTGACTGATGGAGCTTTGGAAAATCCGAAGTTCTTCGGTTATGTCAAGAGAAGCTGTGGTTCAACTTCGATATTTCCAACTTTGGTGCGGGCCGATCGAACTCGTGCTTGTGCGGACTCAGATACGGCAATTGTACTTGGGGAGTAGTATGCAGGGGTTCTTGTACGTGAGGCCGCGTTGACTAGCATGGAACTTGTCCACAGAGTACCTGCGGGTTCTTATTTAGTTGAGTTTACTGTGGTGGAAAAGCAAGTCCTTAAACTGCTGCAAATGCTGAACTCTTCCAAAGCAGCTGGACCTGCTTCAATTCCCCCCGAAGTTTCTGCATGCTTTGGCGGTTGAACTAAGCTGACCGCTGACGATGGTGTCTCAGAAGTCACTTGACAACTGTACATTACCTTATAAATAAATAAATAAATTTTTATTCTCGACAGTGCGAGGCACACCTTTACAGGCATGATCATATTTAGCTAACATAGTGTGATCAACTTGTAAAAAGGACATGTTTGACATAACAGTGTATGTAAGTATATGGGAGTATATATGTTTGCAATTGTGTAGGAATGTAGCTTGTATTTTTGAATGCGCCGCAGAATTTTTGACTGTTTGTTATTGTCTAGAATGCGAGAATAAGCGATTGATTTTCATGGGTTGGATAGCATTTTTCGAATATCCAGGGGCCAGTGACTTTAGTTTGTGGCGAGTCACATCCGCTACGTCGCAGTGTTGTTAAGCAGACATTCTTGGCTTTTATAGGGAGAACGCTTGCCAGGCAAAAACCCACCACGTCCTGGAACACTGCCGCCGAACTATTTGCTGGAACGGGTTAAACCCGAATCACCTAGCTGGCACCACGAGGAGTTTGTTCGGCTAGCCAGCCTTCTGAATGGAGGGAGGCTGCCAGCTTTCCTTTCTGCAAAAATGGCGACAGGAGTCTGTCCGCCAATTATGGGTTAGTCAGTCAAACTACCGTCGCAGTTAAACTGCTTGAAAATCCAGCGGGATTCGTTGGAAGGTCATCGGAATAGATTTACTCTACTCAGTAGTGCATAACACGGATTCCGAAAGAAGCTTCCGTGTCTGACGCATCTGTTGGTTGATCGTGAAGCTTGGGCTGAGGCGACGGACCATGTAAACGTGATGGACGTGCTTTCAGTAGCCTTCCCGAGAGCATTTGATAAGGGACCCCACTTGAGGCTATCACAAAAGCTGAGGTCCTACGGCGTATCTGGCCGCGCCCTTCACTGGGTATCTACGTTTTTGCAGGGAAGCGAGCAGTGTGTATGTGTAGGTCACAGCTTATCCTTTTGGCAACCGGTTCATAGCGGTGTCCCAGAGGGCTCGGTCCTTGGACCGATGCTGTTCTCCATCTATGTAAACGATCTCCCTGGAGAGCTTGGGGTATCATCCCTATTGTTTGCTGATGACCTAAAGCCATAGAAGGTTGTAAATGTTCCTGGGGTAGCTGAGGCCATACAGCACGTCCTGGACAGACTCTGAACCGGTCTACTTTGGGGCCACTGTCCAGTAAGCGGGATAAGGGTTCCTTCCTCTGTATAGGATCAACTTCCCGGCCTTCGCGCTACTTATTCTGCGGAGTCACACTCCCATTGCCTCCAACCAGGTAGACTTGGGCGTCGTCCGTTCCTGGTCTTTGCATTCTGCTGACAACTGGAAGAAGGCTGCAAGTAGCGGTACCAGAATGTTGTGGTTAATATGCCGCTCTTTCGGGGTTTTAACTGCCGACATATTTGCGAAGCTGTTCTCAGCACTCCTTCG